GTCAGGCAGGCACAACAGTCTTCTGTACTGTAGTTGATCTTTAAGATGTTGCAAACGGTCAAATCTGCGTTTTAACTCGGACGCAATACCACGGCTCATTCTGAGATCCTTTGAAATGCTATGGGCGAGAGAATATTCCTTAGATGTAGCAAAGAGGTCTCGTAGGATTTCTTGCGTCACTCCAAATCTCCTGTTAACGTGGGGGCCTTCCTTCATGAACTCTTCAAATGTGGGCTCGGTAGGAATAGTTCTTAATCTGGCCCGCGCCTCCTCTTCATTTGCACTGGCGAATGGAGCTAAGCGATTAAAATGGATTACCTTCGGCTTCCCATTTGCAGTTTTCTTAATTCGGTAGATCACGTCGTTAATGCTCTTTACCATCTCATAGGGTCCTTCCCAATTCTATTGAAACTTAGGTGATAGTCCACGGCGACGACGAGGATTATACAACTAAACAAGATCTCCAGTTTGGTAACCACCTGCTGTAGCCTTGATATCGTAGTTTTATTTAATCCTGTCACTAGCAATCTGCGTATGGATATCGTTAAGCTTTCTTCGGAGGTTGGTAACATAATCTTCTCCAGTAAAGTCATCTCCTGGTTTACAGCCGAATTTGAGGTCACAAGGTAGTCGTACCTCCCTTCCAAAAAGGACACTGGCAGATGCGCCAACATCCTCTTCAATTGGTTTTGTCTTTCCATTAAAAATCAATTCTTCCAGCACTTTTATCTTCTCTTCTGTATCTTGAATATTCTTATTAAACTTTTCTTCCCATTTATTCTCCTAACTTCTACTGTTTTCTTCCAATTTATTTTCCAAACTTTTACTGTTTTTTTCCAATTCACGTTTCAAACTTTTACTATTTTCTTCCAATTTTCCTTCCAAATTATTTTCTAAAATTTTACTGTTTTCTTCCAATTTATTTTCAAACTTTTGCTGTTTTCTTCTAATTTATTTTCCAAACTTTTACTGTTTTCTTCTAATTTGCTTTCCAAACTTTTCGTCATTTGCGACAATTCGTCTTCGAAAAGGAACGTTTCAGCATCATGGTCATTCTTTTTCAACGTCTCCGCGAGCCGCCACGGAAATCCGCTTTGTTAACGGTTGTCGCTTCATCCCGTTCTTCCAATTCTCTTCTTAACTCAGCTACTTTTAATTCGTACAACTTCTTTGCGATTGTAATGGCTTTTACTCAACCCCACACCTGACACCAGTTGTAATGTTCGTGGGTTTAACAAAATTAACATTTATGACTGATAACGACAAAACTATTTATTTGATANACACCTGACACCAGTTGTAATGTTCGTGGGTTTAACAAAATTAACATTTATAACTGATAACGACAAAACTATTTATTTGATATAATTGTTTATTAAAGAACTTAAAATCACTATTAAATTATTACTACTTAGGTTATGAATTATTCTATTTATTTATACTACTGTTGATTTATCACTATTCACTGTGCTATTTATTTCACTGCTATCACTGTCAATTTATTTCTCGATTCACTTCTGCAACGGTCAATTTATTTCATCTTCCACTTCTACAACGGTTAATTTATTTCTACTTTTCTCAGCGATCGTCTCTTCCTTTAAATACTCTTTTGTTTACCTTTGTTCTGATTGATAGGCTATTATCTTCCAGGGTTGGCATGAATGAATCATTTTGATTTAAACCATGATTTAAATCACGATTTAAATCAAATGACTTTTTACATAAAAATCAATGATTTAATCAAAAATGTTTAATTTCACTTTATTTCACAGAAATCAACATAAAAAACAGATATAGAAATTATAATTAAGTTACAAACTAGGATCATTTAAATCTGAGATATGATTATTATAATATTTGAAAAAACTGGTTTTCCAAACTTTTCAATTTCGGTTTCTTAATTTGCTCTGAACAATTCCAAAGGTGGAAAACACTCTTTCCACAGCAGCTGTAGAAACTATCGCGCCAAACAATTGCTTCACCACTGGAAAAATTTTTGACTGTTCCTCTTTACTAAATATATTTTTCTGTGACACCCACCACTCTAGTGGTGTCACATTTTTTACTATTTCTTCTGCTAACATCACACTTTTGAATGGTTTTGATTTTGACTTAAGCTTTCATTGATAAAATGGTAGCAAAACTGAACCATCGTAGTGATTTCGCGCTTCCTCCAACGCACTTTCTTCTTCTTCATCTGTCAGTGTGAATTCTGTTTGGGTTGGGTCTAATAAAAATGCCAAAAAGTGACTGGAGGTCATTGATTGCTTATATGTCTTTCGAAACTTCGACATTTGGCTATTATTTAAATCAGTTTCTTTAAATTTAGCTCCAAGCTTCTTCCAAGCTGTTACAGCAGCGGACAAATTTGCATGATTTCTTTGTGAAGTATCCAGTGTAAGAGATATTGGCTTCAAAATTATTAGATAATCTTCCACTGACCTTTTTACGACCATATTTTCAACTTTTGCTCTAATAACAGGATCTATGACGTCCCTGTTCTCTTCACATATTTTTAGTAGCTTTTGCCACTCAGACACAGACTTCGAAACAATCAGTTATAGTATTCCAACGAATATCTGATGGTAGCACTAATGCTTTCCCTCCTTCCGCTTTGTACAAGCTGTTAGCTGCATGATTGTTTCGGAAGTATTTTATTATTTGCACAACATGCTCCTTTATACTGCTAATTTCTAAATCTTTGGAAAGTGAGTTCAAGAAGTGTGCAGAACAGCCGTATGTGATTATTGTATCACTATTTTTTAATTCCTTCCGCATTTTAGCCATGTTCGCAGCGTTGTCGGTAACAAAACTTGCAAAATTACAATTATATTGAGATTTTAATCTTTCTATCAAACCCTCAGCAAGTTCAGCTAGGTATTCACCAGTGTGGGGCTTTCCTGTAGTGTCTATCGAGTCAAAAAGAATTACTTCAGATTGCTCCGTCTTAATAGTGGCGCAAATGATCGGTTCATTGTGAATGTTAAACCACCCATCTATAGACATATTCACATAACTACCAGATAGATTAGAAAAACACCGTTCTTTTTCTTCAAGGTATATTTGATCCACTAATTTGCCTGATATATCCTTCCGAGATGGTGGGATATACCCTGGGCGTAATAATGAAATGTCTTTTTTTACTTCTCGATGTTCAATACTTCTGAAGCTACAGTTTGTAACAAACATGGCCTTTGCTATTTGTCGGTCTATTGTTTCTTCTGTAGTGTTTGGCGTTGTTTCTATAAAGGAGCTTAAGTTTGCAGATAGTTTTTTTTTAAGAGACGGTTCCGCGCAATCGTCGCCTTTTGCCGAAGAACTTGCAGATGTGCTAGGTTCGGAAAGTGAAGCCAATTCTGAAAAATATATTTTACTTATGTTTGTTACGCAGTTAGTACCATTAAAACAATCATGTCTACAGACATCAAGCAGTTAAAATTTCTCACTAGTCATACTGTTGTCCACTGAGTGCGATCACCAAAACCATATAGAAAACTAGTTAGTATTCTTTAGTTTGTTTTGTAAATAATAACTTTAATAACTTACCTACAACTTCAACATTGTCACGAGATTCCGGAATATTATTTTTGCACTTTTCGTAATGTATTTTCATCCTCACAACCAGACCTTGAATTTCTTTTTTACATTTGTTGCATATAGCCCGACAGCCAGTTTTGGTAGTACTTTCCCATCTCTTTGGCGAGGCATATTATTTATAATAAATTGGTCACGCACGTAGCACAGCAATAACAATAGTGAACAAAACTGAAAAGTAAGAGCGTAATTGCAAGCGAAATAAACAAAATACTACACGGGGATTTCCCTTTTGCCTGGCAGTTATTTGTCAGACAAAAAAGAAATCCCCGCGCTGTGCCCGCGCAATCCCTTGAAGGCGTGTTCCGTTTTGCGCAAAAATATAGTTCAATTAAATTATCAAACGAAAAAATAAAAAAAATCGTGATTAATTAGAATTTTTTCAAAAAATCGCACTTCTGTCGAAACTGCCAGACGCGGATCGCGATTTCGATCTTTTTGGATCTCATCAGCGCGTCGCAGACAGCTCCGACACAAGACAGACCAACCTTTACCTGTTGTCTTAACAGCGCGTTTTAGAAAATACCACAAATGGCGCGGAAAACGTCATCTGTAGTACGATGCTACATTTTCCGCGCCATTTGGTTGATCTGTATTCTGTCGGAGCTGTCTGCGACGCGCTGATGAGATCCAAAAAGATCGAGATCGCGATCCCCGTCTGGCAGTTTCGACAGAATACAGACCACTTCGAATTATTTTATTTGATTATGGTAACGTGCCTATCACGTTGAGGTTAGCTACGCCGGATTTCGTTTCAGCAAGTAGATATCCATATATTTAAATGGACCTTTTTGGTACATACGAAATCCTAAAATGTAGCATCGTACTACAGATGGCGTTTTCCGCGCCATTTGTGGTATTTTCTAAAACGCGCTGTTAAGACAGCAGGTAAAGGTTGGTCTGTGTTCTGTCGGAGCTGTCTGCGACGCGCTGATGAGATCGAAAAAGATCAAAATCGCGATCCGCGTCTGGCAGTTTCGACAGAATACAGACCACTTCGAATTATTTTATTAGGTTTACTTCATTCAGAAGTACCTTGATATTTTCTTGTTGATCGTCATATTCCTGACTTAGATATTGTACAGTGGTGTTCATTTCTGGAACTTGTTCATGATACTTGTTAAAATCCGTCATAGTGGATAATTCCGATTCAGCGTTTACTCTTTCTCTCTTGATAGTGTCGATATTCAATCTTATGATGTAAGGTACCCTCAGAAACTAAATTGCACGTCGGGCGTTTTCTCTTTCACTGTTGATTCCTGTTCTTTTACGGACAACTTAGTACACTGCTTGTGTATTCAGTAATCACAAACCGTACAGAAATCGCCAGAATATTCCCTTTTTTGAAAAATATTACGGTATGCCACAGTAGACGTCCACCATGATATAAATATTCTTTTTTTAAGGTTGGATGTTTTGCTCTTTCTGAACCTGGTAATGGCTCAGATGCAGGGGCAGCCTCTACTACAGCCAAACTAGATGGTAATTATTTTTCTTTGAGTGGTACGAAGGCTTGGATAACAAATGGTTACGAAAGTGAAGCTGCTATTGTTTTTGCAACGACTGATAAAAATTTGAAACATAAAGGTACTGTTTGATATGTATTTCATATTTTACAATTACTTTTAAATGAAATAAGGAAAAGTCTGTAGCTAATGCTTGTAAGTAATATTGTATGTATTTCAAATGCAAAGAAATGGACTAAAACTAAAAAAAAAAGAAAAATGAATTAGTTAATGAATGATTTTTAAAGAAGTTATTGAGTTATTAATTTTATCAGAATTATATCGATTAATAATTATATATTAATTTTTTTACGGAATTTTGTTATTTATTTTGTTTACCCAGAAAATATAAATTTTATTTCGCCTCAGACGGCAGATAGTACTTATAGTATCTATATACTCTAAAAAGTCAAATTGAGCTTTTTCCAAAAAACATTGTAAATCAATCCAACAAGGAGAGGATCAAGTATGGAAATTCTTAAATTTTTCATATTTGTGGTAGTGATGTCAGCATTGTCATTAAATTATAGCAACAGTGGCGTGCACTTTTTTTTTCGAGAAAATCAAGTATAAAAGAATACTGTTGTCTTATAATGGAACAAATTGCAAGCCGTTGATAAGCGAGTTGCGTAGTTATTGGCCTAGTAATCATGAGGTCGCGGCCTCGACTGTCGTTGTGAACATTTGTTTTTGATTAATTTTTATGGTTAACTACTCATCTTTAAAATTTAAATTTCTAAAATTTCCGATAATTAAGTACGGTTTATTTTTGTTTGAGGCATCGTACTATTTTTTTAAGACAAGGTTGTCCACTAGACATTACACTTTTTAACGTATTATTTAGAAAACTAATTAAGCGCCATACAACAAGGAGAAATGGTAATTGGTAGAAGGAAAATCTCATCAGTTTCATATGCAGATAACATAGTATCACTAGCTACGGATAAAAGAGGGTTGAAAGAAATCATGCAAAAAATCAAGAAGTATTTAAAAGAGAGAGAGAGGGCTGGAATTAAATAGAGATAAATTAAAATTTATAAGGGTAACAAAATCAAGAGAAAGAAAGAAGAAATCAGGATTCCAGTGGGAAGGGAAAATAATCGAAAACGTTACCGAGTTCAACTACCTAGGATTCGTACTCCAGAAAAAAAAATGGAGTACATGGACACATAAAACATTGATGAATAAAGCAATAGGGTTAATGGGAAAGGTATGATTGGAAAAAAAGTGTGTACCTATTCGAGACATTGACAGAAAGCATAATATTGTACGGAGCGGAAATATGGGTGTGGGAAGAAAGAAGAGAAATTGAAAGCATTCAAGACAGATACATTAGATGGATTTTAAAAATAGATAGAAATAGATCGAAATACCTAGTATTACAAAAACAATTGAAAACAGAAAAATTGACCTAAAAATATTCAAAAAGAACTTTGAGTAGTACGAAGAAAATGTGTAAAATTCAGAAGAAAATATGTTATTAAAAGTATGTATAAAAGTAAAGGAAAATATATCGAATATTCAAACCGAAAACAATAAAATCACAAGGCAAAGATTGAAAAAGGGAAGAAGAGTTTTTTTAAATAAAAGAGGATGAAAGTTGGAAAGTTAGGAAAAGACAGAAGTGTATGGCAAGAGGTAGAAAGTTTAACTGAAGACATTGAAAAGTAAAAAAGAAGAGAAAAAATGAGATACTTAAAATTCGTACTGGAATACAAGAAAATATGGAAAAAAGGGAGGAAAACTAAATTATTTGAAATACGAAAGAGCAAAGAGTAAAAACGAATTAGATGTAACAACAAGATTCAGACTGTGGCGTGAGATTAGGACGGCAAGGTACTCGGAAGAAGAAGATATTCAAGTTGTGTAAACTGGATCCACAGACGCTTGAATATATTTTTGAGAAATCTGGAATAATTGGAAATAGTACAAAAAATGAAATGGAAGGAAAAGATGGTCTAAAACGCATGAGAGAAATATTATGGAGGAGGAAAATAGCAGAAAAGTTAGAAGAATAAAAATAAAATTAATATGTAAATACACTTATCACAGTAAAACATATTGTTTTTAATGAAACTATCTATCTAAGTATCTATTTATTAACTTTTTGAGTAGACGGGGGTTTTAAAGATTTGATTTATTGAATAAATTAAACATAAACATTAATTGAATAGGATATGTACATTCCTTTTTTCATTTGTTTTGTCAAACCCGCGACCTCAGGATTACTAGACCACAGCGCTGTGGTCATAGCTATGCTACTAGCATAACAACGGCTTGGAATTTGTTCTATGATAAAGCATGCGGCATTCTTTTATCTTCCATATGCGCTACAGCTTCGACAATTTAATGTCTTACTGCTGACCCTCAAGTGACAGAAATTTGAAAAAATTTAAAAACTCCCATGCATTTGAAATACATGTAATAAAATCTATATATATATAATACTGCTATATTGTTAGTACGGTGGAAACATATG